TAACAATGCTAATAAATAAGGCAACTTTAAATAAAATGATGTACATTGTTTTATTTAATGTTGCTTTGTTCAACATTAAATAAAATGATATAAATACATTTTCAACGGATTTCGAATACTGTTCAATATTTTTTAATCATGTTCTTTTATTAAAACATTTTGATTTAAAATTATTAGAATCATTAGTAAAGAAACACTGCTTGCATACAATAACATAGCTGATATCAGAAAGATTCAAAACACAATTGTCAAGTAAAATATATAATTCGGAAAAGCACGTCATTTAAATTTATGCTTTTTATTGTACAAAGCATATTATACTGTTTAACAAGATTAAAATAAACAGGTAAATATTTTTTTATCTTTACTTATTTTATAAATTGTTCATTGTTTAAATAAATTTAAAATCTATCAAAACATAGTTGATGTTGGTCTATGTTATTTTAAAAAAAAAATTCGAGTCATTATGATTTAGATTCAAATTGACTGACATTAATTATTTGTAACATATGACATTAATTACACTTCATATATATTTACACAGACGCGCGTCGCAGTTTAACTCCAAAATAAAAAGATTTTGAATTTTTTTTTTCATTTGGTTATATTTAAGTTGATGGTATTTATATAACGAATAAAAAAGAAGTTAAGAAAATGATTTACTTCCTTAAAAAACACTAGTTTTTTGAAGAAAAAAATGTCTGGTTTTATTTGTGGTTTAAACCATGGTTTAAAATACATTGGTTAGAGCCATGGAATTCTGCAAGTATTAGTAAGAACAATAACAACAAAAAAATCATTGAACCAATTGTATAAATTATTAAAAAATTTAGATATGAAAACTGAAGTTATGAAAAGGATTTATTTCCTTAAAAAACACTAGTTTTTTGAAGAAAAAAATGTCTGGTTTTATTTGTGGTTTAAACCATGGTTTAAAATACATTGGTTAGAGCCATGGAATTCTGCAAGTATTAGTAAGAACAACAACAAAAAAAAAATCATTGAACCAGTTGTATAAATTATTAAAAAATTTAGATATTAAAACTGAAGTTATTTATTTTTTCTTCCTTATTTAAAGAAACTATTCTCTATTGCTATTTGTTCCTGCTTCACACATTTTCACAAAAGGAAACTGCATGTCAAAATGTAACCCTTTGCGATGCAGTTTAGCCAGACGGTCAGCAACACTTTTAAAATAAAAAAAAATGTGACAAACCACTACAATTGCAAAACTAAATACTTTTAACATTTAGAATGTATAAGTATGTCGCTTCACTTAGAAAGTATTGTCTAATGTTTTATTTGCCATGTCCAGTTGGACAAAAATAGACAACTAGTCAAATTTTCATTAATTTATATAGCTAAGTTAACTATTAACCGCGTTTAAATTCAAAACGTAAATATTTTCCTAATATCCACCTTACAGCAACTACATTTTTGCTCTGAATAGAAACAAAAAGCGATTTTGGAGCTAACAAAGAGATTCTCCCTTTCTTATAAATACAAAGCAAAGATCATCACGTAATAGAACCAGTTTTACCTTTTTCTTTCCTTCGGAGATCTCCTTTCTTATGAGGCAAACATAGAACCATAACAGTTAAGAGGCTCCGCCCCGCCCCTGTTGAGCGTTTTCAATCGAAATGTGTTGTTCCCGAAAGGGTTAATTAACAACATGTACTCAAAATTCTCATTTATTCAAGATTCTTGTATACAGCAGTGACTATTTTCTTTAAAAGCGTGACTTAGCTTTAATCGAGCACTTCTTCACATTATTTCGTAACAATAAATGAATCAATATATAATTGCGCACCTCCTTAACTACTTATTAAATTGGTTCCTGTATTGAGACAACTTTTGTCACAATTACAATGCCTCAAAGAAACATAACATAAGACGCAAGAGCGGACAAACGACCGCCAAACCAACTAACAAAAGCCTTTTGTTACTCTTTTAATTTTACATTCAACTGTTGTGAACTTAAGCGAGCATTATTTAAACAGCCATTTGTGTTAAAACTTCTTTCGACTTTTGGAAAAGTTTGGAAGAAACCAGATGTTAGAATGTAAATTCGAATTTTAATTAAATCTCTTATTACGCCGCAAGAAAGAGAGAAAAAAGAATAATTACAGGAATATCCGCGCGAAGAAAAGATTTAGTTTCAGTTAAATTCCCGAAAGCATCTCATGTAAAAAGTGTAAAGAGATAGAATTACAAAAGACTGTTTCCTAACTTTCGGGAATAATTGAGGCTTAAGGGCGCCGGCGAAGAAAATTTGATCTTTGAAAGAACAAGAATAAAATGATTTCCAGAACTCTACGAATGCAATTACTTATTCTTCTTACCATTTAAATTTCGGTGACTTTCTATGCATTATGCAGTACATATTTTAAATTGAACATTAGCGTGTACATTATTATTCAATTTACAAAATATTTATTTAAATTGAATTGTGTGCAAGTTAATCAATTTCGAAACAGAAAAGCTAACTTGACTCATTATGAAGGAATTTTTTTTCTCCAGTTGTGGCAAAATTTAGTATTTGAATTTGGAATCTTTAACCTTTTGTGCCTGAGGGTAACAACATTGAGCCATGTATCTGCTTAGTCTACAACTCTACGGTCGTCGAGGAATACCTGTATGTTTAGTGGTAAATACCTGTATGTTTCATCTTCGTTTATAAAATTTGAAAATGAAACCCGTTTCACTGACCAGCATAAAGCAATAATTCAAACGTAATTAAATAATATATATATTGATTGGTCAATTGCATTTTATAAATAAAAACGGTGGAGAGTGATACTTACAAAAACCATCTTAATGCTACACCTTTTAAAATTGATAACACTAATGACTATGAGCAAGTTTCAATAATCATAAATCTTAATAACAAAAAATAAAAAACAAAATTCACATCCCTCTACAATTACCCAAATAATTTACTGAAGTAGGCAGATGTAGAATTAGTTTTTAAAGATAAAATAGAAATCATTCTTGGAGGAGACTTTAACAGTGAGCACACAATCTGGGGGTGCAGAAGCAATAAAAATGGAATTGCTCTGCACAATTAAATGCCTAAACAAAATTTAAAAGTAGTAGTACATTTAGATCTAATTTACAATCCATGTTTCACAACACATAGACTGGATATGCAGACTATTTATGGCAAACTCTTTTCTGCGCAAATTAAAATTATAATCAATGTTAAATGCATGAAAAAAGCATGGTTTGCAATAATCAATGGCAAATCATGTTGCAAATGGTTTTCCAGCTGATCACTGTCCACTTGTAGCTACTTTTGCTCAAAATCTGACAAGCACACAATAAAATTAAAATAACAATTAAAGCAACTATACTCCATTCTCACACAAAATAATGTAATTAAACCTCTGTTAACTAGCACAGAAGATGTGGATAATGCAATCTCTGATCTAACTAGATCTCTTATCAAATCTTCTCATAAAGCAACACATGAAAATTTTTTTCCCCAAATTACTGGAAAGGGACATCACGTATAAAGCAACTAATTAAATGCAGAAAATAAGTAATGAAATGGTCTGATCGGACTACCTGTAAGAAACCATGTGAAGGCTCTCAGTTATAAGAGGAGTTACCTGTACCTGCCTGTCGGCCTCTTTGATCGACACCTGAGATATTGTGAGTTTTTCGGTTTAGTTGTCTCATGATTTTTCTTTGGCGCATTCAAAATTTAAAACTTGTCTCTAGTTTATGCTAGGGCAGAAATAAGCACACTTCAATTTACTGGCAAAAATATGCTTGTAATATTTATTGTAATATTAAATATTATTATGAATCAAGATGTTCCCTTCGAGTGGTCATTCACACATCAACCAAGCACACAATGTCTTGAATTAACACGAATCACAGTGTCTCTTTTCGTCTTCCCCCTGTGCACCAATATAGGGATGGGAGTAATGTAGTCTCGTCTTTTCACGCCAAGCAGCCCCTAAAAATTTTCTCCTCTATCAGCTTGATGAAAACGTAATTATTCATAAGGGCACAAGCTTCACCTTTTATGCTGGTTTGCTTGATTAAATGTCTATCTATTCTGCTACTGGTCTTCTGATGAACACCTGTTGATCTTTCTACAACGACTGATGAAATTTGAGATACGATCCATTTGTCTTTTCCTTGATCCATCCAGCTTATGGTGATGTCTTTCCTCTTTGGTGTCTGTTTAACTGCATCCTGGGCTAGATTACTTTTCTCCAAAATGAAGAACTGAACAGAAATGTTAAAAAAAAATCATGGTTTCCACCAAAGTCAATAAGAAATCTAATATTACTGGACTTTTCTTCAGTTACTTGTACTTGTATTGATAATTCGTTTTGGTATATTCAGCAAATTCAAGCAGGTTGAAATTTTATGTTATTTTTAGAAGATAAAATCACAAATAAAATAGACAGTTTTGCGACACAATGTTATTGTATTTTTTCAGTCGACATGGTCAAAATTCATTTTGTATAAACAAACAAGTCAGAGAAGCTCCTACCATCGTTTAAGACAAATTTAATTATTCTTTTCTGAATGTCTTAATTTATTAAATTTAAAATAATTAGTTTATTCATTGCTAATTCTAAATATTATTTTATATGAAACAGCTAAATATACATTAGCTCACCTAATCAACCTACTATATTTCTTCCTTTCCAACTTTACTTTTTGAGATTTATCACTGTTTTATAACAAAGCCTAAGATTAAAAATTTCATTCTTGATGATATTATACTCTTTGGCCAGTTCATATGGATCCTTTTGAGTAATGGGTTGGGGAAAAAACGATCTGTTAGAAAAAAAAATATACAGCTACATAATAAAAAAGGGAAAGGTCTCACGTCAGCACTTAAAGGGTAAAATATAATACTGATTCATAATTTTTCATATCTAAAACATTTGAATAAGTTCAATACATTGAATTATCCATTATGTTCAATATAAAATACATAATAGTATACAAAAAAATAAGTGCAAAAAGGTACTTACCTGTTTCACAGGTATATTGGTCTCCATGATAACTCCCATATCTACGCCATCTTGTACATAATAGTTGTTATGAGGTGCGTTCAGCACTATCACGCTCTCCTTAATCCCCGTTGTGGGATGGTCGCGGATGACGTAAGCGTTCCACGAAACCGACCGCAGGTGGTTCCTTGGTACGTTGTGCAGGTCCGAGTAGAAGAGCTTCAGCCTCAGGAACTCGCACTCTAAGTCTGCTTCAACGCACCATCCCTGCTTGTCCCGGTCATAGCAGTTGGCCGTTGAGTTAGGATCACGTGTGGTAGGCACCTTGGCCTCACTGATTGTATTAGCACAGATCATTTCTGTGTGTACCCGGAGGACAGTTCGCCGGACAATATCCGGCACCTGACAACGGAGGGAGAATCCTCGAATTCGGCCACTCATGTCCGAGATTTGGTCGAGAATGCCAGAGTCAATCTTGCGCTCGCCTTCACCTAAGACGACTCGATACATGACTCGGCACTGGTGGTCAAAACCGGTGAGTCTGTTTAATAGGACCCTTGGTCGCGAGCTGGAATCCGCTTCGTCACCATGTGGCAATATGGAAACGTTCCACTCGAAGTTTCCAAACGTAAAGTAGGACGTCTCCAATTTGACGCGGCTTTTTTGGCCACTTGCCGAGTGAGCTACGTGCGGCACCTTAACCAGCCCCTCGAAAACGGTCATAGCGTTGCTGACGGAAAGTTCCATCAAGAATTCCCAATTCTCGTCTGTGAACCTACGCGTCTTCAGCTCGCTCATTAACATCCATTTGCTGGTACCGTGAGCTGGTTCTTCTACACTGAAACTAGCATTCTTCATCGGATAGACCTCGTTCTTAGAGAAATGTTCTCTGTTGAGAATGGTAAAGCTAAAGTCTACGTAACATTTAGTGCCTTCAGTTGGGTTTCTGAGAATCAAAAACACCCCTAAAATCTTCTCTGTCCGGGTGAATGAAACGGCCCATTTGTGGTAACCGAATGTAAAGTCTTTTGTGGTGGCGTCACGATGAACATCACGTGTCACAGATCGAGTGACAATGAAGGTGAAGACACCAGTATTAGATCTGTCGTTCAGTCGAGAGAAACGATACAGAAGAGCCATCTCTCCCTCTCTCTTCTTGCTTTCGAAAAAAAAAATCTGAAATTCAAAGATAATTTTCTTATAAGTGAAGATTATTATGCTATTAAATATTGATCACTTTAAAAATAAGAACATTTTGATGTGATATAAAACAAGTTTATATGATCGACTTTTATAAAATCTGTCGACTTAATTTTATTAGATTAAAAATGTCAAACAAATTCAGACAACTTTAAGCTGTCATCAACATAAATTAATAAAAATTATTAAGCTGTCCTATAATTATTGATTATCTGCATGCTTTAATCAGTACTATAATCAGTTATCGAGTTCTTAAGTTTAAATATTAATATCTACAGTAAGAGTTTAGAGTTAAAAGTGACATTTTTATTACATTATTCAGCTTTACCAGCAAAATACATACGATTCATGAAATATGAATAGGATCTTTACCATTAAAACGTATTGAAAACTTTTTCACTGAGTCAGGGGAAGGAAGTAACATTAAAGCATATAGATATTACCATTCATGTTAATCCATTTGTCTTTACATTTGTTCACTAACGATTTTAAAAGCTTTTATAAATATGATTACCAACGTTATAAAATAAAATGAGATGATGTTAAAATTAAAGTGAATATAAAAACAAATACATGAAACATTCACATTATTGTGCGACTACTATCTTTATTTTCCTTGATTGATTCTTCCTGATATCTGAAACTTTTTTCATCTACTTCAGTCCCTATCAGGGGTCTGTCTAGGTTTTTCTGAGAGGTACCTATTATGCGAAAATTTAGACATAATTTGTGAAAAATTAAAAATTATATTGAAAAATCAACACAAAAAAATGGATTTTTCGTTTCTTAAGGGATACAAAAATAAAAGTATTTTGTGAAACTATCGTTTTTCGTAAAGTTGGATTTGTGAAACTACCATTTTTCCTAAAGTTGAATTTGTGAAGGTACCGCTAAACGGTAGTAAATTAGGCCTGGGCAGACCCCTGACTATGCTCTTCATTTATCTTTGATTTTTAACTTTCCTCGTTTCTTTAAACGACCATAATTTGGCTTTCGATGAAAATTTTGAAAATAAGTCAGTTTCCACAAACATTGTTTTGGTAATTTTAAAAAGTCATTTTATAAAGATAGTTATTTATGGAGAAAAGTTATTTTATAGAGAGCTTTTATGGAGGTACACAAAAAAGGCTGTGGTTACAAAACCTTAATTTGATAAACATATACTCACCAAATTTCCTTTTTTCTGAAGCAAATCAGCTACTTGAATCACAAATAAATACTTCACACACCATCAGTTCAATAGTTCTTAGATTCATTTACGAACCGAAATTCATAAACTGTTTCGTGTTTCAAGAAGGTGTGGATTGCGTTCAATCAACTTAAAAAATTAAAGGTAAAATGCAGTAAAGTTCACCGAAAAGATTTCAGACTCTGTGAGATACCATCAATGTCTCTAACGATACTACCTAAACTAAGTGTCACCTATATCTACATAGATGTAGATACCAATGGTTTAAAGTTTCATTTTGATTTGTGCTGTCCTCTCACTCGATGACACCACATCAGCTCTTATAATGATCATGTTTATTTATATATGCTGATTAAGATTCTCTACATCTTCAGTATTGTAGAATCATATAGTAGAATACAGATATAATATGATGATATACTTGGGGATGATATATCGCAACATGTTCTTTTATGGTTTTAGTTCATATTTATTTCCACTTCATTTCGGTCATTTTCAGGTAAAGCTTTTTGATGTTTTTAAACATATATATTTCAGTTGCTCAGATGTAACTTTTCACCTGAAATAAAAAAAGAATATGATTAAGAAAATTAGGAACTTGAAATACCAAGCAAAAAATATGTCATTAGAATATTCCAAGATAAATGGAAATCAAATAAATTCTACGTAATGCAGATGCACATGCAAAAAAAGTTGCTTTTTTTCTCGTTTGCATAGATTTATCCAAAACTTATTCAATTTTATCATTTGATAGCTTCATATCCTGTCAATTATGCTTTTAAATTTTCGTGTATTTTTATATTTTTATGAATAAAAAAGTAACTGCTTCATTTTTAAGTTGGGTTATGCCATTAAATTGTTAATGTTTAACGACAAAAAAAACCCCTGAGATTTTAGTTTTTTCCTTGCTTTTTTTCAGCTGTAAAATATGTCCAGAAATGACAACGTCTCGCTAATAAAATGTTTTGTTCGAAAAAAAGTGCGAAAAATATATTGAGTTTTTTTTCCCACTTTTCTATTTAAAAAAATAACAGCAATCTGTAAATGGAATATCTTTTTAAAGTATTGTATTTTTTGTCATCTCTTTCTTATCGCTACAATTTTGCATTAACGATAAGAAATGTCGATCGAAACTGTATTGTATAGAAAAGTCACGATATTCACACATTTTCACAAATACTGAATAGGTTTTTTTAATAAAAATACCAACAACTGATAAGATAAGTATAAGAGTTTTTTAAGAAATCATTTGAATACTTTTTATAGGATACATAACATTAAGAAAAACATTAAAATTGTAACTCCTAAAAGAAATCTTAAACAAGAATCGAATCTTTAAGTTATAAACGTACGCAGCATTATACGTTAATTTCGCTATTCCGTTCATGTTAACACACTCTTATTAAGAATTAAGCTACGATTCTTTTTCATAAAGTTAGTTTTAATAAAATAGTTATGTTTCATTTGATAATTAGTTTATTTTGTAGTAGGTTTGAATAAAATAATTATCAAATAACACATAAATGACCATTTTTTATCACCTCAATAGCACTTAGTATCACTTAATACATTGAGCGACATCTATTTCAACCTATGGATTATCAGGTGATGTCAAAATGGCCACAACTTGATACTTCCATTAAAGAAATATTGATGGTGATTTTTAAATTAGTTACATTTATATATTAGGTCAAAATGAAAATTCTATTTTCGAAGGAACACTCCCAATGTATACATCAAATGTACCGCTAAGTTCTGTCTGAAACTACAAGTTTGAATATGTGCCGACTGGACTGTGCAGTGGCTAGGGAGCTGACCTCCCATCAAGAAGGTCCTAGGTTCGAATCCCAGTGAAGGCATAGACGTTTTGCTCTTACTGTGGGAGCAACTTTGGCTCACCAATTTTAGTGTCCCTGTAAGAGTGGCCAACAAATCTGCCCTACTGATAACTGAATGACTAGTGTGAATCGGGTGGGCATTGGAAAAAAAGTTGAATCTTGGGAAAGTTGAAGTCGGGCCTCATATATGAAGTGACTCTTTTATTTGGAACATTATCATTGAGTTAATGGGTAAATACTCTACCACTTAAAAAAAGCCACTTTGTTAGAGTTAAAGGGTAAATACTCGTTTAAGAAAGTACCATTTCAATCACTGTTAAAGTAAGCGTGTACTTTCGTTCTCATAACTTTCCGGTAGACCTAAAATTTTGAAATTAAAGTTTCTTGTTCAACAGAGGGTGTTTAAGGTTAGGAAATACTCAAAATCGTAATTTCCAGCTATTTGTTAAATAAATTTAAATTCAAACTGAACCACGCTCTTGCTGCATAGGTTGATGTTAAAGAGTTGCTTTGGTATGAATTCAAACAGACGGATCTTATATTCCTAGATGCTGGATATTGGCGGTATCTCAAAGATATTTAACTACTGGAATGTCAATTTTCTAGTGGTACTTGAGTTTATGTTTAAATGTATTTTTTTTTAATCATTTGAACTTATTTCCCACACCACTATTTATAAATGATTTAAAAGTCATACCTGCCAACTCTTCCGGAAGATTTTATTTTCATATTTAAAGTGGTAGTAATTATATACTATTTTTTCTTTTATAATCTTAATTTTTAAATGATATTGATCACCACAATTCGTACAAAAATTAAGCACATATATTAATATGCGTTACTATCATGGTTGTCAACTTAAGTTTGCTCATATACAACGTATTTGTTTGCTTAAAATTGAAGTTTTAATTCCATTTTAATACCACTGGGAAAACTGATAATGGAAGGGATTAAAAGTTGGCAGGTATGAAAAGTTCATAACAAACGCTACTTTATTCTGGTGAGGCTATAAAATTTTTGGCATAGTTGACAAATATTTTTAAACTGCAAAACATTTTATAGAGTGGTAGATAATTAAATTCTGAAGCTTTCAGAATTTTTGGTAACAATAACTACGTATTAAAATCTTCACCACGAGAGGACCCCGGAACGAAGTGGCTTTTCGCTTAAACTTTTGTACGATTTTCTCCTAGTGGTGTGGAAAATAACTTTAGATAAAGCAAATTACAAAGCAAAAGTAATTTACAAAGCAAACAATGATAAATTAAAACATTAACTTAGCTACCACTTGAAGAAATTTTTAAATGAAGCGTGGAAACTTGGAAGTCCTGTGTTCATACAAGATTTTACAGCTTTAATTTTTTCACATTTATTAAAAACCTATAAAACACTACGCGTCTGCTTTTTCTTCTGACTTGCAATTGCTATTCTAGATATTTTACATACATGACATAATATGATTTAAAGTATAAGATATAGGGATTAAAATTATAAGACATATAATGTTTAAAAATATAAGATATAATAATTAAAATATGATAAAATGTAATGATTAAAATATGATAAATGTTATGATTAAAATATGATAAAATGTAATGATTAAAAAATAATGTTTGAAGGTAATGTGGTATAAGTTTAATCGAAACAGAATTTCAGAATATTTACATGCAAGAAAAACCTTCAAACTACGTAACCCGGATAGTCTTATAAGTAGAATAACCACGTTTCAATCGGAATACTTCTATGACAAACTTGCTCATTTTAATAAGTTCCAATGTGTGAACATATTTCAATCTTATACACTGCCCCACAATAATGGAAGAGATACTTTCAGTTATTGACATTTTTTTAAAATTTTTCAAGAAATACTCAAATGATAATTCTGTAACTTTAGAGTCGTTCAGTTCATGCGATTTTTCATACTTAGCAATAAGGTTTTAAGCTTTCAGTGGCACTGCAATAAAGGTGCACTACAATAACTGCAATAAAGTTGCGCTTCGTATGATACTTTGAAATTTTGACATTCAGTGGTAAAAAAAAATATACTGAAAATGAAAAATATTGTATTAAAAATAATTTGAATTTCGTTAAAACTAGAAAAATATTTTTACAAATCGGCGCAAGTTGGCTTTTCGTATTAATACCTGATTATGAAGAACGTCAGAGTAGGACACACCAAGTAATGATCCTTAGGGAAAATAAAAAACACCAGCGTTCGGAATACCGGACATGGTCATTTTGAGCGACTGACCTTTATCTTCAAAAAACCATTGTAAAAAATACTGAGCTAGTCAATCACATGCTATAATCTAATTCTACTTACGCTCTACCTGAAAATCTAGTTCTTTTCACACTTTATTTGAAATTATATTGTCATTTTCAACAGCATTTAGATTTCATTCTTTTAAATTTGTAATAACATAAAACTTCTAAAAACTCAAACCTTTTTCGAAATTTTGAAAAGTTAAAAAAAAAAAAACTATAAAACTTTCTTAAGCAATAAAAACTACCTAGTTTTACATTAATTACAGTAGTTAAGTTTTTATTGCAATCACTGATAACTCTTAAGAAAATTGGCATTACTTTCTTAGAAAAGTAAAATGTAACGGGGTAACTAATCATGAAGTTACTGACGGTTCCATATATATCCTACGTACATATCACCCACGGACAGTAAAATCCAATTGTTTAAAAGCAATCTAGTTCTATTCAAATAAACTTGTTTTTCCAATTATGACTGAAAATTATACCGAATTCGATATATATTCTAGGAAATAAAAAAAAAATGGAAACTCGAGAAACGGAATTCGATTAGAGAACATTCTGAACAAACTAATTACCATCCTTCCTAAAGTATCTGAAATAAATTTTTCGCTTCATTCTTCGCATTTGGAAACTACCTCGAACGCGAATCGATCTCAGTTTTCATCAGCAATTAAATACTTTCAACAAGTTGGAACAGTTATGATGGAACATTTTTCTGAAAAATAACTCAGAAGGATTTATCGAATATTCGAAAGGATTTCATTAGGAAATCACTAGAATTCCAAATTCATTTGATTGTTAAATACTTTTGACAGGCAGAAGCCTAATTTATTAAAAGTGTATTCTCTTATTGAGAATTTGTCGAAAATGTCAGATTAAATCATGGCGTTCATTTCTGAAGATGAATAAATCATTTGGGATTATTTAGAGATTCGAACTTCTAAATTCTTGAAGACTCTTTACAGATGAAACGCTGACGAAAAACCAATGATAGAAACAAAAAAATTCGATATCTAGATTTTTATATATTTGATATCTTTGTATGGCGAGCTATATATTTCACAAATAAATTCTATTTTAGTAATCACAGAGATGCCAACTGCTCCGGACACGCCAAAATAATTTAAAAGTTGGTAAATAACTTCAAAGTAAACTTTGCAAATATTTGACAATTTTGCTTGCTTTTTAAAAGGTTTAACACGACCTAATATAATAAAGTGGTGAATTATATAACTCTAAGAATTATTTAGAAATAGTGGTGGATAAAAATCTAATAAATTGAATTTATTAAAACAAGGATCCCAATTAATAAACTACCACTTGAAAATATTCATTCGCTGTCCGGAGCAAGTTGACATCTCTGTATTCGTAGCATTAGCAATAGTAAGAAAACAGTTGTCAAGCCATTTTTCTCAGAATCAATTACGTTGTTATTTCAATTGCAAGTCAGAGTATG